TCCTGCTGTGGCCCTGTGCTCATCCAAATTTATAGCAACTCTACTCATCATCCAGTCTAGATAATTTCTAGATGCTTTGGTCTTTTGGAACTGAATGATTCCCATGATTTGTTTTTGGCACCAAGTGCAAGTGATACTGGTCACTAAATCATTGGTCTGCAGTAATCTCCAGCCTCATCCGGACAGGGCGCTGACCTTGAAGAATTTGTCTATTTTGCTAAGGTTGATTCTCTTCTTGGCATCCAATTTGTAAATGTTGCTGACATTCCCATCCATCAGGTATAGACCAAATCCCATCACCTTGAGAAGACAGAAAGGTTTTAGTAGGGTGAAGTCAGCAATACAGGCCAAGTTCTCCTTCATGCAGCACAATAAACCACTATTTCAGGATCCTGTGCCAGGTGACACTGATGACAAGACTATACAAAACGTGTGCATTGCTGCAAGGTTGTATGGGGGGGAAGACAGAGGTAGACAGAGGACAGAGGGTGGATCTGTTTTTTTCTGTGCAAAAATATGATGCACACTTTGGTAATTTGCTTCTCCTCTCTCCCACACTTCTGTGCAAAAAGATGATGGTAATTTGCTTCTCCTCTCTCCCACATGAAAACAACCCCAAAACTTCCCCACCCATACTAAAAAGGCAAATATTTGTTTCTAGAGGAGAACCAAAAACATTCAAAATATTCTTATGACTTTTTTCTCCTTTACTTCAGTACAAATCATTATAAATATTAACAAAACCACATTATCCTTCAAAGATCTTTAGATTACTCATACTGTGATAATGAAGTTCTTATGGAAAGAGGTGGCCAAGTAACTGACTTACAGTAAGGACACACATACAAAACAAGCAGATATTTTGGTATGCTCATCTGGAGGGTTCTCAAGAGGATAAAGGAAAGAAAATGAAGAGAAAGAGTGCTGGAAGGTACTTCATCTTACTAAAACAGAAGAGAAATTGCCTAAATACTCAGCCTCATCAGCACAGAAAAATCTCACCTTTAAGAGCATGTGTTTCTCACTGGGGGTGAGATACATCTTGTTTTCATAGTAATCCACACAGATGTTGACAATATCAGCTAGCAACTCCTCATAGCCTGGGATAACCTCTAGCTGCTGGTGCAGACACTGAAACATCAACAGGGACCACATTATCCACATGGACAGAGGAACAGCAAGAGCCAAAGGGAAAATATTTGAAGAACATATTTTGAAGAATATAATGATGATTCCCAGCTCACTAGGCCAGAACAAAGGCAAAGGAAATACTTCATGTGTTTTTCTTAATATGATTGACCCTATTGTACAACCTTTCTTCTCCAGGATAGCTCTCTTTTAGCCAAACATCAGACAGTGAGAGGAAAATATAGGGTTCACCTCAGCAAGAGGCTTTCTGACTGTCTGCCGTCTCTGTGCAATACTCCACCTAATTACCTCAAGCTATAGGGCCTTTGGAGTGGTGGAGACATGGGAAGATCTCTGATGTCTCATCTCTAGTCCAGCTGAAGAGATAGACGCCTCTAACTCTCAGTCCTCCCTACCTCACCTGCGTGTCACATCCTTTCCTCATTCAGGGCTGGATGGATTTCTATCAGAAAACAGTGGAAAAGATGCCCCCAAGAGTTCTTCTTACATCTTTTAGACCTTCACTCTTGTCCTGACAAAAGGAGACCTCCAAAGATAACCAGAACAATTCATTAGAGGGAGGCATTGCTACAGTTATATACAGCCTGATTCAAAGCCCATCATAGTCAGTGAAAATGACCCATAATGAACAAGGTGTTTATGACCACAACTCAGTCGGAAGTGCTCTCAGCCTTGGCAAGTTCATTGCATCTCTCTACTTAGGAAAATATTAACTGGTTGAACAGTACCCGAAGTACAAAGGGACCTGCCTGTGTGATGCGGTTGTGGTTCGCCAAGAACATGGAGAGGTTCTGGGACTCCTGGATGGACTGTGGGTCTGCCATCTTCCTCAGAAACTGGGCAGCTCTGGAAGAGAGAAACCCAGCATCACCAAGGGTCCCTCACTCAACATGAGATTCACACCATCCAGCTTCTTTGAGTTCAGCTGCAGCTGGAGTACAGCAGCCTCCAAGGCCCCCCTGCAGAAAAGCTCTGTTCCTTTCTTCATTTCTCAGATAGAGAACTGAAACACAGAAAGGCTCAGCAATTTCCCTAAATTCACAAAGAGAACCTACTGCAGGGCAGAAACCCAAACTCAAGCCTCTCTACATCTGCCTGACCTTACTGCAGGATCAATGCTCCCTTGCAAACCAGACACGGTCTTTCCCCACTCCAGACTACTAAACTGTCCTCCTGGCTGCTTCTCCTCTTTCACCTTTTGTATGCAGAGTGATCGTTTTTGACACTGCACTTCATGTTCTTCAGCTCATCCAGGACCGCAAACATGTTAATGAATTTCCCCAGAGTCAGGAGATAGGCCTCAGAGACGAAGTCCTTCCTTCTCTCAGCGTGGCACAGGCGCTTCACCTCGCTGCAGAACCGCTCGATGGCCTTGCGCTGCAACGGAGAGATTTCCAGCTCAGCAAAGGCTTAGGCATGAGAGCAGCCCAGCTCACAGCTGCTCAGCAGACAGCGTGACAGGCAAGAGCCACAGCACCAGTGGGAAACTCCCCACCCACCCAGGGCCTTCTTCATTTAACTAAAGGTCTCATGGGGAGACAGGCACCAGCTCCACTCTCCACTGTTGGCCTGAAACAAGGCAGTGCTACAAATCAGCAGACTGACTTTCAGTGGGGAAACAGCTAGCCACATCCACCAATAAACAATCCCTGAAGGAAAGCAGAAGCAGGTAGCACCCTTTGGCTCTATGCAATGGAGGCTCTGGTCTTCCACAGACTTCAGGGCTGAGGGCTGCTCACTGCTGACTGGAACAGAGACTACAGACAAGACCTTGGGGCCAAGCAAGGGATGTGCGGCACAGATTTTGCTTTGAGCACCCGTTATGTATCTGCTGGCTGCTGCAGGGAAAAGACCTGCCAAGAAACTCAGGCTGGCTGGATAAGATAACACCAAAGTAATAAATTGTTCCTGCTTCCCTCCATGACAACTTACCTGAAAATACATGAACTTCATAAGCTTGGTGACTTCTGGCTCCAGGACTTCCACCGTTTTCTCATAAATTTCCACTCGGTTTGGCTGTTCATTACATTTCACCTGAAATGCAAAGACAAATCATTGTGTCAGCATTAGCACTTCTAACATCATCATGGGCCTACAGTGACCATCATCTTCTGTTTATTTCACAGAGCATCTGGTACCCATTTGAGGACAACAGAGGGATCTGAAAGGAAGCTTCTTTTCATGGCAATAGATGATGAGAGGAGGGTTATTTGTCAGATGAGAAATTCTATCAACGCATTATAAATAGGCATGAGCCTGACTGTGAGAAGTAATGTCTTCTAATGCATTTGTCTGGGTTAGAGTACATAAAAGGATTCTGGACTTGCTATCATGATATGGTGATGTTTGTTTATTAGGTCATACATTTTTCAAAGACTTTGTGTTGCAAAAGGCACATGGCACCAAGCTACAGATATGCAATGGTCCTGCTGGGATAACTCTATGTGTATTCTAGACCTGCTAAAGATCACTGGACATGTATGTGGCTAGCAGCAATGAAATAAGACACTTCTACGTTACAGTTCTTGGAAGCAAAATATAAGGAAAGACTTATCCAGTTGCTACCCACCTCATTTCCAAATGGTGACTTAGAGTCCTAGAAATCCTATTACCAATTTTTTGGGAAAACCCCACTGTTCCAGGCAATGTTTCCTGCTCCTATCCAGGGTGTTTTTTGTCTCCAGCTGTTGTTGATGTAAGGCTGTGATGGGTCTGACAGAGCCTGGTGTAACTTTAGAGCCCAGCAGTGGATCCACAGTACACAAGGAGGTGAATCAGCTGGCTTTACATGTGAGGAGATGCAAGAGCAGCTGTAAAACTGTCTTCACTCCACCCCTGCAGCGGGGAATCTAGTGATCCTAGCTAGGAATTTCACCTTGTAGTCAGATAATATCGATGAGGAGGAATATGCAGCTTAAAGTGGCTCCATGGTATGGGGATGACTCGCACATTTAGCTATTGACACAGCTCTGCCCTTCCTCTACAAAACCATGTTTCCTCATGCAGTACCCTGGGTCTGTACATAACCGAATGGGGCACCAAGCTGCCAGGCACAAGTAGGGGTTAGAAAAGGCATCCCTAGGGGCTATAGCCTAGTCCTCCATGGCAAATTGCAGAAGACACACTTATTCCAAGAGCAAATCTTCCAAATCTGTCAATAAACACTCCATGGCTGACACCTTAGTGTCAGCTCAGCCATGGTCTGCCTCCTGTTAGTGTAACCAATAGAAGCAATAGCAGCACAGCATCAAATATAAACAGAGGATAAGCAAATGCCCAATCAATGGCAGAAATCTGCCCTTGCCTGGGTCTCACGGGGCCATTAGCAGACTATAACCTGAAGGAAACTGAGATTTGACCTTTCCTGGGGAAGCACAAAGACAAACATCAGCACTGTCAGCCATGCAGAAAAATCTTTTCCTGGCTCCCGGGAACCACTGCAGATCCTTTTATCACTAGGGTTAATGCAAGCACACTGTATCTGCCCTGTCATGCTGCTAGTCTGCACTTGTACAGTGATCCAGCGTGTGTTCACACTGCAGAAAACAAGCTTTGAGCTGGAGCCTGAATCACAAATTAATCGGGCCATGTAGGCAATCTTACTCATGCCTGTAGGTGTTTGCAGGATAAAGCCACCAAAAATCAAGCTGCAGAGAAAAGGGCTTGCAAGCAGCTGAGAAGAGAACTAGCAGCAGAGGAGGAGGATGCAATTGCAGAAAGCTGCTGATAAAACTTGGGGGGTAGATCCAGACTTTCAAGTCCATGAGCAAAGATGGGGATTCAGAGGAGATCTGGCTGGAAAGCAGATGTTCTCCTCTCAATAAATTTTTCTGACATATCAAAGTGTTCCTTCACATACACCAACCCAGAAATAATGACATTGCTTTAAGTAAAGCAAAGGCTATCCGTTCTCTGAACAGAGAAGTAGATAAAGAGCCAAGTCACAAAACGTAGCACAGACCCAAGTAACGAGTTGGACTAGAGCAGTGCTCAGCTAAGCCCTGTTAGCAACTGTGGGAAGAGTGAGCAGGTACAGCTGGGCTGCAGTTATATCAGGTGTGAATGCCTTGGGGCACAGGGGAGGGGCTGAAGGAATCAGAATATATATTTAAGGCAGTCAGCCCCAGCTAGTTGCCTCTGTGAGGACTGGTATGACTTAGGTAGGTGGTGTGTAAAGGTGTGTTGGGGATGGAGCAGTTCATATATGTTCAGTAGCTCTTACATATGTGAGTGTGTAGAGCATGTGTCCTCTGCTAGGGCCTGTGTACAGGTCTGTTTTTGCTAAATGGCTGTTTACTGTTGAGATTCACATCTGAGGCCCTTCCTGGGAAGGGCAGTTTGAAGACTGGGGGGTTTTCTCCTTTCAACATTTCCTTCCACTTCTGTCTTTTCTGCTTATTTCTGTTTCCAGCCCAAACTAACCCAAGGTAAAGGCAAAGCTAGCTGGCTGCTCTGGGAAGGGCGCAGGTACCTGGGGGATGGCTCGGGAGCAGCTCCTCCACGTGTAGAGCATCACGGCGTACTCATGGCCCTCTTCCAACATCTCATTCTGAAACACACACAGAGGTGTTGCTGCAGCGGGGCTCATGCCCGTGGCTCCGCGTGGCTGCAGTAGCACCGGGCTGCCCCAGGGACTCACCATGCTGGAGTGCACTGTTGCCTGCTCGATGTACCTGGCGATGCCTGTTACAAAGGCGTTTCTGTCCTCAAAGTTTGTGTCAAAATTAGCCTGTGGGTGCAACAGAGAAATAGGGATTAAAACAGTGCTAGCTTGTTCGCCTGCTATGAACAAAGGGAAACTTTTGCCCAAAGAATTTCATAAGTATATCTGCCCTTCAGATGACCTGTCCTCCCAGAGAGGAGGACAAACAGCTGTAGACAGGAGCAGGTAATGAAAAAATGGGAGATGCGGGAAATCACGGGATCTCTAGCTCTGATGTAAATTCCTTTTTGTATGTGTGCAATGCTGTGAATCACATATTTTCATAAGAGGAAATCCTTCAGGTTATGTATGTGAAAACACAGCAATCAAGACTGACAAGCCCTTGTAAAATCAAGCTAAGCCAGGTGGGGATTGGTTATAAGGAACTGCAGCTGTATAAAACAGCAAACCTCTAGTGATTATGCTAAAGATATTTGTCCATTAACTGAAAGACAGATGCAGCCTCATTAATTTCTATTTATCCTCTGGCTGCTACGGGAAGACCACATCCTGTCATCAGGAATTGCAAAGAATAAACACAAAGAAAGGGCAAGGAAAGAGATGTCTGTAAAACATAAATATGAAAGCATCCCATGCAGATGTTATCAGCACTAGTGTTGCTCCTTCAAGCAGATATTTTGAGGAAAAAGAAATGTTTTGGAAACTGAATTAACTGTTTGGAGTATGGATGTGGGAATAAGAAAGTGCAAAGCAAGGCAAGTGAGGAAGAAATTCAGCTGCTCTGCTGTAGCTGCCCATGCCCGTGGCGTGGCACTTTGGCCATTTCCTCAGTGAACTGCAGGCCAGAATGCACACAGGTCTCAGAAGCTCAGAGCTGCTCTGGGCAACATCATTAGCATTGCAGTAAGCATAGTCAGCTCAGTATTTGATTTCTTCAGTACCCTCCAGCTTGCTGGGATGCTAGGAGCATAGACCCATGGCCACAAGGCTGTTTTTCCTAGTGCCTCAAGGACATCATAGGTGAGATAAAAGCTAAGCCTACATATGCATTTATGGGTATCAGGAGAGAGAGCTAAATACAACCTAAGTATGATGTGGAAACAGGTTTGGTGGAAACAGGCTTGGCTAATATATCTGGATCCAGTTTGGGCTAGGTCTGTAGGCTCAACTATGTGCATATGATCATGGCCATGAAATGAGAGCATGCTAAAAGGCTGCGGCCTGAGCCCCACACAGGACACTGGCCTGCAAGTAAAGTAGTAAAAATTACTTGGTGAAGAGAGAGGCTGAAATGATATCAAGATTTTCCAGGGAGGGCTGAAATTTGAACAGTTCAGAAATGCCTTTGGGTCTGATAACCTGCAGAGATGCTAATGCTACTGAAAAGTCCACGGTCCGACCTGGTGAAAGAGATACTGTAATTTCAGAAGCTTTTCAGAAGCATGGCAAGGCAATCACTGTACGGGTGTATTTATACACTGCTGTGGCTAAGTCGTGAAGACGGGAGTGGCAGGACAGAGAAAGTAACTCCATATTATATTTAACCCTGGGTGTAGTCTATAGGCCAGGGTGTGGTGGCCAAGCAGTTGAGGCATCCCACTGCGGATCCAAAAGCAGCCGTTTGAGCCTTGCCCTGGGACCAGGCCAAGCTTTGCTAGGTCAGTGCAGCTGCAACTCAATCCGTGGTAGCTCAGACCAGAGAAGTGATTCTAGCTGCTGCCCTCCCTTACTTGCTGTTGGCCACGGAGACTGGCAGCTCCGCTGTGCTAACGGCATAGCCCAGCCAAACTCGGGCTGAACTTCATTGTGACCTACATAGACGATGCTGGCACTACCATAAAAAGAAACCACCGAAATATGTGCATTACAAAACACTGTTCTTATCACAAATCTTATCTGCTGCTTCATACCCATTCACGCACTCCAGTCCTCATTCTTAACTTCCTGATGTCTTGTTCAGGATTCAAGGCCTCTTTTACTAATCTCCACCACTTTCCTTTTACACTCTCCAGGAACATATTAGTGGCTAGATCTGCTCTGGCAGTTAAGGAACTTTCCCTTCAACTCGCTGCACCTCGAATATTTTTCATTAGTTGAAAGCCCAATGCACTCCTCTGCTTTTCTCGAGTTACTGCTGGAAAGCTGGATGGTACCTGGTACATGATGGAAGACGGAGGCGGCTCGATGCATGGCTGCTGGTCTGGCAGAGGCAGCTCCTCCAGTAAATCCACGTTGGACAAGGCATCCTCTAGCGTGACGTGTGTGGTCATGGTTCCGGCTGCTCGGTTTCCACGCTACATCCAAAGGAAAAGAAGATGTGATAGAAAAACAACAGCCAGAAGAATGAAAAACATCAAAAGACAATGAGTGCCATGACTAGTTTGCAGGAGACATTATTATTATTTTTTTTTTTAGCATATTTAACCTAAGTCTCTAAGTATTCTCTCCTACAATTCAATAACAGAGCTGGAACACAGAGTAAGAGGGACACAACTACCCACCCATGCCCTTGACTGCTTAACTCTGTGCAAAACTACTTCAGACACAGAACAACTTGATGTACAGAGCAGCTAGAGCAGCCTCAAGTTAAAGTGCATGCTCCAAAACACAAGGCAATGCGATTAAAAACACGTTTAGAAGCAGCACGGTTAGAAAATTATGCCCAGTGCCAACACTCACATGGTCTCCTCAAGCACGTGGAATGACACTGGAAACCATAAACAGCAAGTCACTCTCTCCGAAGTGAACTGGAAAACATCGAGTTCTGCACGGCTGGGCTGTGGCGGTGCGAGCAGCAAAAAAGGAAGCTGAAGTTAGGAGAAAAAAAAAAAAAAAAAGCCCTTTTCCTTTTATTGTGCCCTGCTTCTGTCACCACCCAGTGTCCCCCCAGTCCCGGCCTGCAATGGAGCTGCTGACGGCA